CTACCAAGATGGCACAGACATAAAAAAAAAACTGATAGAAAAGCAATGTGGTCTGTGCAGAAACAGACTTGCTTTACACAATGTAATATGTAAAAATCAAATCTTTCCTTTAGGTAACAGAGTTCTTGTCTGCTTTACCAGGTGCAAAATTAATATTGGTCAGCTCTGTTTCATTATATTAGGTGTAATTTCAATACGGCAGAGCCAGACAGCTCACTGAGTCACACAATTTCATTCAGCGATGTAAGCGTGATAAAAAAGAGGAGGCCAGATGGACACAGCTTGAAACAACATTTTATTTCCTTCTTTCTCTCTCTTAGAGGCAAAATCTGCATCACGGTTGTTCATTACAGACTTCACTACACCTGCTGCAAGCATTCTCTGGTGTGTGTGAGCATGCAGTGTGTGTGCACTCTGTCTTCCTTAATGCTTGTATTGCACTGGGCTCTTTGTCACTGTCAGCCATTTTACCTCCACCACGGGTTCCACATTAGATTAGGCAAATCCTAATCAAAATGGATGGTCCCAGTACAGAGTTTGTATGTTAACCTAATCATAAAGTATTATAGAGCAACAAGTGTTGTTGCAAGCCCGAATCACAAGAAGAGTTTTGATGCTTAATTCAATCACAGGTTGTTTGAGAATCAGTCAAACCCTCTGGCACATTCAGTTATCATGGAATGAGAGCGAAAGGGGGGTAAAAATCACTCCTACCTGTCAAAGAGATTGTTTCCTTTTTTCCTCTTTTTATTCTTCCTCACTAAGACTGCTTACTAGACTCTCTGCTCATCTCTCCATCTCTGTCTCCCTCACACACAGACTCCCTCTCCCTCTCTTGTGTTGTCAGCACAGCCCTGTTCCTGTTGCCTTCCTGATTCTGACACCTGTCAGCATTTTCGTTAGCAGATCAGAGAACTGCAAACTAGAAATGTTCCCGTGTTGAATTTAGGGCAAGTTTTTCAGCAGAAACATATGAGGTGCCTTTACTCTTTCTTTAATTCAACAGGGGAAGGGGAAGTGCCTGACTGACACGAAGTTGGGAGATGTGGGCTGGAGATGTTTGCAGTCAGTAGATGGAAACAGAAGAGAAACACAGAAAGGCATATGCAGGAAGACGAAAAGAGAGAGAAGGTGGAGTGGGGGTGGGGAGAACTGAAATCAATTAAGAACAGTGAAACCCTGTGGATCTGCTGATGGAAGAAGGCAATATGAAGAAATTCGTGGCCTTATAGAGGGGGCTTCCATTCCTGGGCTCCAGCTTCAGGCACACACCCGTAGGGAGTTAACAGATAGATGAGAGATATTCTCCAGAGGTGAAGGCCAAAGAATATGTCAGAAATAAACGAGGCCTGTTCCCTGCTCTGGCTAATTGAGCAGTCTTGGATCCCTTTGATTCTGATAAAGCCAAAGAAAGGATTAAAAAAAAAAAAAAAGAACACTCACATATTGACCTGGAAACGACTCCAAAACCAAGACCAGAAACCTCTAAACCCACAAATCTGACACAGTAAAATGACATCATCCTCTCCCTTTCCCTCCCGCAGAGATAACTTGAGCAATTTAAGAACACACAAACTTTAATTCTTAAAAACCTCTATAGTCAGGACGAATTAAAGCGTGAGCTATGACAATCAAGGGAAGTCGACATAATAAATTTAGCTCTCTTTGTCACCAGCCCCCTCGGAATCTGTTCCTCGCTTCTTCCTTGACACTAATGGTTCAACAGAGCCAAAACTAGCATGTCGCACAATTCAACCAAATCCCCCTAACTTCACAGACATGCCTATAAAGATAAAGAAAAACTCATTTTATATAGCTCTTGTTCTCAGTTTATAGTTACAGTGATATCATCCATTTTTATCCTATTGGCAGATATGAGCAAGCCATTACATAAAGATAGCTTTTCCTTTATAGATTTTAGGAGATTTAATGTAATTTGTTCTTCAGACTTCCCCAGTCTAATCCACTAGATGTAGATATTTCAGGTCAGAGTTAGAAAAGAGTACACACACCTCTTCAGATTCTTGGCAGGGACTCAACAAGGAGGCGTTCGCTCAGAGTCTAAAAGTCTAAAATCTCCACAAGTTACCTTGGTTGTGGTTGGTTTAGGAATATTAAATATTACTAATATTAAATATTACAGTGTGGCATCACTGAAGACAAAGGCATAACTGTGATGGACAAAAGCCAAATAGCAAACTCCCAAACTGATACAGAGGCAAAATGCCCACTGTGACACGGGTTAGTTAGCAGCTAAACCTCATCACACAAAGGGATTCCCAGATGAAAGCCCACAACTTGACGGGGATGCAGGGTCTTCATGAAAAGGTAACGGCTTGTCTCCTGGGCAAACGTCACCTTTACATGGCACTGAGAATGGTAAACATTTGCACTGTAAAGGCCTGAGAGTTTAACCTTTCCCCCCTTCCCCCTTCCTGCTTCCTTTTGTTCTCGGCACTTATCAACACAAGAAAACAGAACAATAAAAAACACAAAAAACAAGGCCCTTTATACTCAGCGTGTGTGTGTTGTTGTCCTTTGGCAATTGCAGTCTCTCAACTTGTTTTCTGCCTTAGCTGCAGGAGAGGCACACTATACAGCAGTTACTCCCAGAAGACATCTCAGCAGCAGAGTCTTTAGTGAACATGCCTATTTGTTTTCTGACAATTCCCCCATTCAAGCAATAGAACTAGTGGATCATGTCCATTTTTGTCAATTAAGACAGACAGGCTCAAAGTAAAACCACTTCATCACGTGACTAAAACCACTGCGGTTTTCATATTATACAAACCTCAACTGTTCCGTTTCTGCCTTTGCTCGCAAGTCAGTTTGCACAAAGGAAAATGAAGCAGGGAAATGAAGGCAAGTATTCTCCTGAGGAGCCGCATGCACAAAAAAATCTGACAACGTAAAACCCTCATACGGCAGGAGAGACAGATTCAACTGTGCGTCATGCTGAATCTGCCCATCTCTGTCAGCCCACCATGGCCTTTAACTATGTAATTAGACCGTTGAGATGGTAATAGAGGGACGATTTCATTTGCTATGTCATTACATTTCTGCACGTGTAAGGATCTTTGGTCAATTCATTTAATAATTATGAACAGCCTCTCATTACTCTCTGGTGTGACCACTGATGCTGACTGACTTTCAAAACAAAGGAAGGAAAGATTGCAGTGAAACCATTTTGTTAAGTCCTTACTGAGGAAAACTGCTGACCAAAAGTGAGTCTAGCTGACCGCAATAAAAAAAATAAAAAGCCAATAACAAACAATCTAATTGTTATTCCAAACAGATACTTTGTTATCATCTATTCGTTCTGGTCAAAAGAATAGACAGCACTGTGAAATAGCCTCTTGCTCTGTTTACCAGCAAATGTGGAGCTGCATTACACATTCAGGTGGCATGTATCTACTTTGCTGAAACAGATACAATCATTGGTGGTGTTAATGAAAAAACGAACTGCCTGCGAGAGTCCTCCCCACTTGTAATATTCTTCATGTATTTCATTTCTAATGGTCACAGTAATGAAACCCCACTACTAGCAGACCTGTCAGCCTGCATTTTTTAAAAGCACAAGATTTTTTGTGGCTTTTTTTTTTTTTTTTGAGGAACAGTCAGCAAATTTACTTTTCCTTGTTCATTACTGTCTGATGCTACTGAGGGACACAGTACAAGTCGATTATAACGGTCACTATGCTCCCTGACACTATATACTGTACTGTATTTCGATCTGCATTTCTCAGCCAAGTCATTAAAAAGTATGGGCTTCCAGGTATAAAGGCACATCCAGTGGTATGTCTCCCTCCTTGATTAACATAAAGTCTGGTTAGTTAAACATGGTGCAGACAAGAAAAAGCACGACTATTACTGCTTCTTCAACCACACCCACACATTTCAGAGTCCACTGATAAAAATGGATAGATAAATCATAAAAAAAATCACCTAATCTTCATTCCTTTGTGCCTTTTTCTAAAGTAGGATTCCTTTTTGTTATCTCTTGCTCATTAAGATTTCTATTATCTATCAACTGAGGAGGAAGAAAGCAGAGTAGAGAGAGAATAGACTGCCTTACTAGGGCAGTGTTAGTAATAAGGAACCAAAATTATGTCGATGTTAACTGAGGGGAAAAAATAAATTTGGCACAAGTTCCCAAATTGGAGCACAGCGCAAAAGCAGAGTTCAGATACAGCGAGCGATATTTCTAAGTGCTGTCCTCAAGAGTGTGCTTTTAAAATAAAGTGTCCGGAGTTTCCTCCTCACTCAGAATAAAATTGCTAATGTGAGCAATCCCAAAATGTCTGCAATTTTCACACACGCTGACTCTCATGCTCTGCTGAGCCATTGCACCTGTGCATGTGGTGTTTCCTTTGAGCTCAGTAAATACCCTCAGGTGCATATAGTTACATCCTGGTCTGCTTCACGCAGCTTTATCCTGCTTTCCCCGCTCGCTTTCCCTCTTACTGACCCACTCTCTTCCTCAGTCTGACTGGCAGTAGTTAAGAATGAACATGACCCTTACACTGACTTCTGCCAACCAAGTGGATGTCTTTTTAAACGGTGAGTCAGAAATGAAACAGCAACATTAATTCCCTGCTAAATGATCCCGCTGAATAATGGATGAGGGCACACGGAGATATGTAGATTTCCACCTCCTACCTTTGTGAGCCTAATTGCTGCCTTTCAAGCACATCTGAAGTCCCCACTTCAAGAGCAGACATGGTTACTATCAGTCAATAATATTGCCTAAGCCTGTATCAAAGGGTAGCCTTAGCTGTCAGAGATCCCTCATATTAGGGCATCAAAGTAAAAAAAACTGTGATGTCATTCATACGTGCACATCTGAAGCCCTGCAATGGGCAAAATGCAGCTTAAAAGATGCTCAGGTACATATAGGCAGAGGTAAGCACACACACGATATGCACTGAGCTTATCTTGAAACAGGAAAAAACATACTCCAAATGTTGTTCAAACTCAAGTACAGGCACAGGTTTTCTTACCTTGGTCTGGCAGCTGGCAAACATTGGGGGGGACAGTCATGTTCAGTACATCATTGACAGCCGTGTCAACATAGTGTCCTCTCTGGACATCATGTTCACTGTCGGTCTGGTCGCTCTCCTCGTGTCCGCTGTCCTTCAAACTGTTCCCCTCCAGGTCCTTGAATGTCGATGTGCTACACGGGGGCCAGGAGGGAGGAGACGGAAATGTTGATTAACTGTCACATCAACGTCTCTTGCATGCGCTCCTTCATCCTCTTGTTTGCGATACTTCATGACAAGATGTCCATCTTTCTTGCCATCTTTTATGTCCCTTCTTTGAATTCTTTGCCCTTTTATGTGGTCAATTTCCAGGAATAGTGATTTGTTTTATGATCAATCTTAAACACTGCACTCTTGCAAAGAACAAAGCCTTGCTTCAGCTTCAACACTTGCAGTGAACCATGAAATAAGACGGTCTGAATCTGTAGACAGTCTTTTCAGATTGGACTTTTTTTTTTTTTTTACTTCATAAATAGAATGGTAGCTATGGGGTGTTTCAGGCAGGAACATTTTGGATGGATGCACTGACTTCAAGGACATCACACTGAACAAACAGGAGGCAGTCACTCACTACAATCAAACAAATACTGCAGTAATCAGGAATTCCTGGAAGGAAGATGGATGTAGGAAACGCTGGAAGCATACAAACTGAGCATCTGTCTTGTTTGGGGCTCACAGTCAATAAGGAGGGTGGGATGGGGGGGTACAATCAACAGCTGCACAGTAACAGCATGATTTCCCTTCATTTGATTTCCATCCCACTGGAACAAATTCTGCTTTACAAACAACACTAAATAGGGGTGAATATATGAACATGTGTTCTTGCAAGTGAGAAAAAAATATATCAATGAGTATATGGAAGGGGAGACAAGAGGTTAGAGAGGAGAGGAAAGAAGAGACGCAGCAGAAAATGGGAGTAAACAAAAGTGTGCAAACAAAAGGTAGAGAAAGTGAAGGACAGAGCAAGGTAGCCGCATTCCCTAACTCAAGCCTCACATTCTCCAGCCTGGGAGACACAACTGCAGTGGAGGTAATGCTGGTTCTCTGATGTTATCACTGTAATTGCACCTGTCCCAGACCATAGGCTCACTGGCTCCTAAGGGGATTTCTTTGTAGTGTGCTGCAGAGGCCCGCACTTGAATGCTCTTTGTTTACATTAATGCAGGGAATCTTTTGAGGGGGAAATTGCCATAATGGGTTTTCAAAAGACTGGGATGGCCTCAAACAAAAGCAAGCCTGGAATGCTCCCTAGCTGCAGGTAAGAATGGAGTACTGTAGTTTTTGAAGTGAGCCTGGTTCCAAAATCTACTATGACTGGATGGAGTTATTATAGGGCCTCCCCATTCTAATCCCCAACCCTATCTAGAATTGTGGTTCAGATGGTCTGAATATCAGTGCACAATGAAAATCTTTATGCTTCACTTTTTCACACAAGAAAAAAGAAGAGCATGAAGCTGTTGTCTTGAAAAAAGGCGAAGAAATTGCTGGATTATTTGATCACTTAATAAACATTTTAATCTGGTAATAAAATAAATTAGAGATGAGTAATACTGTTATCTGTAAATATGAAAATCATTACTTGCAGATACAGTGGCTCTACATAATCAAGTAATCTGACAGTATATATTTGTGGCTCATTTCAACAAATATCTGCTAAACGCATTATGGAGTAAAGCTATTTATCTCAAAATCTTCTTCTCCCTTTGCAATTATACTGAGTGAAAAACACGCCGGAACACATGCAAACAGCTGCAACGGTAGCAGTGCGCTCATTAGATGAAACAATCACAGATTACAATGGTAACGAGGTGCTGGTAACAATTCTTAATCAAGACATACCTTTTAATGAGGTGGGCTCTGCTGTTCACGTAACTGGAGTCAATGGAATAATTCTCC